AGGACCCTTCCGGACTGTCAGAATATAGACCCCTCCGGATTGGGACCCCTCCGAGTTAGTTAATAGTAGACCCCTCCGGATTTGGACCCCTCCGAATTAGCAACTATAAGACCCCTCCGGATTCGGACCCCTCCGGTTTTGTGGAAAGTAGACCCCTCCGGATTCGGAGCCCTTAGCTCTGTCAAAGTAGCTTTTCGTAGTTTTCTTAATTTCAGCTTATACCCCTCCGGATACGTTCTGCGTTGCTTTTATGCTGTTTGAATTAACTGGGAAGGGTATAGGGTCCTTTCCTAGACCCCTCCGGATTGAAGTTAAGGCACTTATTTGACAATTCACACTAACGGTGAAGGGTCTTATCACTTGCCTAATTTCGACTCTATTATGGTTGTCTTGTGCCTTCAGCCCTCCCCTTTTGTCTAGAACTGTCCTAAATTACTTAGTTCAATCGCTATCAACTTTTGGTAGGGGTATAAGGGTTTTTCAGAAAAATTTATAAAACGTGAAGGGTGTACCCCTCCGGATTTGTGTAATTTGCTAAAAACAATCTCAAAAAATTTTCTCGCTCGCTTTTTCGAGTAATTCTCTTTCCTACTAGTAAGCTCAGCTAATCTCTGATCTATTGGTACCAAGATCAACTCGATATGCTCTGTAGTTCCAAAGTTATTGACCAAAACGTCTTTTTTCCAAACTCAAAAATTTTCTCTCTTATAGGTTCCGCCTAACTTTTTCCGCAAATCTGGTCCTTTCGACCTAAAAATTATTGATCTGAGCTCAGAAGGCCTATACTCTTCTAGTTCAATGCAAAAGACCCGATCTAAAACGCTTTTGTAGAAAAAATTTGCGAAAAACTATGCTACCTGGACCCCTCCGGATTGATGAATCCACCAAATCAAACACGTTATGTTCGATTTCTCTGCAACCCGGAAGGCTTTCGGGTAGCGGGTTTTAAAACTCGTAGATTCACTAGTGGACGTTGTCCGAACAACTATTTTTACTGTCCTAACTCAAAGACTTCAAAAAAATTTCTGATTTTATAGTGTTTCTTGCTATCAAAAAATGGGAAAATTTGGTTTTTGGTACCAAACTAGTTCCAACCACTTCCGAACTAAAGTTAACCGGTTCTACTTATTACAGTAGTGCAGTTACGATGTAACACACTAACTTAGCGCTTTTTTCCGTTTGAAAAAATATCGATATCTCAAAAATCGCGACTTGTGGGGGGATCAAAATATCGCTATTTTGATCCTAAAAACCGGTCTGTTTTCGTTGTTTTTCACTGAAAAACGATATAAGACTATTAATATAGGCTATATAGGTAATAATATTAGTAATACTATACCCCTCCGGGTTTGTTTATTATCCGAATTAAGGTGCTTAACTCGGATATTCGCAGTTCGGTGAAGGGTCACTACAGTGCAGCACTGTCGAGCCCCCCACAGATTACTATCTTACTTTTTGTACCAAAAGGGATACAAAACTTGTTAACGATACCCAACAGTCGATTGTTGTTGTCGTTGAGCCCCTCCTTGTTGCTCCTTGTACTGCTTGCCGGATCGGTCTTCACCCAGGACCCTTCCGAATTGAGCGCAAATCAGCTGACCCTTCCGGATTGAGCGCAATTTATCATTAACGTGCTTAAATGCTCAAATAACCCTACAGTACAAGCCTCACAAACGGGCCACAAAAATGATCGTAACGATCCTGACTGATATAAATGCCTGTAACAACAATATATCTATCAACAACAAAGGGGGGGGGGTTGAATCACATCTTGTCTGGGGGATGATTTCTACTGATTTTTTACTTTTTTACTGTTTTTGGTTTTTTCGGTTATTTTTTTTTTGATTTTTGTTTTTCTTGGGTACTATACTATTTTTTGTTTGGTTTTACTTATATCTTTAAGTGTTTTTGGTCACCAACCACTCAGGGGACGAGGAGACGGCCGATCCCCCCACCCTTCCTGGTTCGTGAATTTTCGGTCTTAACTAGGTTAAAAAACTATTCACGGCAATCCGGAAGGCCTCCGCGTTCCGAACTACCCTTCCGCCCCGGCGGCTTAGGCCTATTAAGGACGTTAATGTGAGCATCCGCTCGGCGCGGAGTGCTCGTTAACGGTTCCGCCGGTCATGATGTTATAAAAGAATAACACCCAGGAGCGCCATAAAAACATACATGTAACATTCGCCCGGAAGATACATATCGACGGATAACAAAACTAAGTCTTAAGACGACTGGCTAGCGTCTAAACAGAGCTTTGCATGTTTTTCACCGTCTCTGCCAAGCCAGTACTTTCCGGTGGTCTTTTTTAACATCGGGTCGACAAAAACGTTACTGTTCTCCGGCTTCGACCAGAACGCTCAAATTAACTGAATTACATGCAAAAATAGTGAGCTCATGGCTGGGTCTCAGTATCCCCAGACCACGAGGTCACTCCTAAAAACAGGGCTACTACTTATTATATTACTATTGTTTTTGTTCAGTAGATAAAAATCATCATCTCCATCGAAGATGGATCAACCCTTTCCCCCCAACTCTTAGCACCTCATCCTTGTCAAAACTAATCCAAATATCAATTAAATTCAAGTCAGGACATGACAGGATGCTAAAAGTTCATATGAGTCAATAAAAGTTTTCCGTCCCGAGACCCTTCCGGATTCTTGAATCCGGTGAATCAAGCTCCTTAAGTTCGATTTCACGACAACACGGAAGGCTGGTTTCTTACGCTTCACCGTTGTTCACAATAGTTGCAACTCGGAACGATCTCTGTAATTCGTTGTCGTTTTCTTCAATTTCGACTTCTTCAATTTCGATCAAGTTGTTCTCGTCAGCGCAACTAATGTTGTTGTTGTTTTTTCTCTCTCGTTTTTTTTGTTAAAATGGCCGTTTCAGCATTTCTCAGAAATGTGACGTCATCATTCGAATTTTTGAAATTTTAAAATACTAGAATATTCCAGCCTTCACCGTTTGGCTAAATGTTCCAATAACGCCCCTAGTTCTTAAAAACCACCAATCCGGAAGGCTTACTGCTAAAATTCCGAATTCTGCAGAAATTGCATTTTTCACATTCTGGTCGAATGTCACAGAGATGATGATTTTTATCTACTGAGCAAAAACAATATTAATATAATAAATAGTAGTTGCCCTGTTTTTAGGAGTGTGTTCGTGGTCTGGGGACACTGAGACCCAGCCATGAGCTCACTGTTTTGCATATGATTAAGTTAATTTGAGCGTTATGGTCGAAGCCGGAGAGCAGTAACGTTTTTGTGGACCCAATGTTAGGAAATACACCAAAAGAACTGGCTTTGGCAGAGACGGTGAAAAGCATGTAGAGCTGTGTTTAGACGCTAGCCAGTTGTTTTAGAACCTAGCTTTAATTTCCGGCGATATGTATTTCCGGGCGAATGTTACACTCCTAATTGACCTCTCCGCTTTCGTCCAATTCAATGATTAACACCACTAATCGTTTAAAGCATCAAATTCTCTCACTGAACTGTTCCAGAAGATAATTCGTTTTTTTTTCTGACATGCATTTCAGGCTATTCTGGTCGAATGTCATAATCTCAGCCAAGCTCAGAAGGTACAGAAGAAGGATTTTGGCTCTGGAAGGATCTTGGTTCTAGAAGGATCTTTAATAAGCTCTGGAAGCATTGAAATCGACTTGATTTAGTCATAAAATTTTGGCGTTGTTTTTATATAGTGTTGGTACGGCCCTATCCAATCTGTTCACATACCGTCGCATGACGGAAGGGTCCGTTTTAATTGACATTTAAAAAAAAAGTACTCAGTAGTCATTGCATAATATAATCAGAAGGTCAAAAGTATTATAGTTACCGAGGATCCAGAGCGACGCGTCTAGTTAGTGGTATGAAAAATCTATCCTATTACGAACGCCTTAAAGAACTGAATCTATCATCGCTGGAATACAGAAGGAAAAGAGGGACAATGATAGAAATGTATAAAATCTGCTATGGTTTGTATGATAGGAATGCCACTGCGGGACTATTCGAGCGGAATGATAGGGATTCTAGAGGTAACGCATGTAAAGTAGTAGTACGTAAAGCAAATCTAGAAATGCGAAAAAATTTCTTCACGATTAGAGCACCTTTCGACTGGAACAATCTGCCACAGGAAGCAGTGCAAAGCAAGACCATCGACGAATTCAAGTGGAAACTGGACAAACATTGGAAAGCGATTGGAATTGACATGTACGAATTCGAACGGAGATAGGAAAAAAACATTTGAAATGACCACAAGAGGCACTGCCTAATGGTCATAAAAACTTGACTTGACTTGACTAGGAGTCCCTTCATCACATTATCCAGTCGAAATCTTCGGAATTTTCTAGATATGGAAGAGTAAAGTATTATGTGGATAGATCATTTAGAACTTAAATTAAAATGGGCCCTTCCGTCATGCGACGGTACGTGCACAGGTTGGATAGGGCCGGTTGCACAGGGTGGATAGAAGTAAAGATAAAAGTTTTTTCCCCGTCATTGCATTAGTATAGTAAGTGTATAGTTAATATTAGCTACAATAGTAGTTGCACCACTAGATTATTAGTTGCAAGTTAATATTAGTTGCTCCACTATATTCGCCAGACAAGAAACTCATTCCACAGGGGCGTACTTGAAGACTTGTCTATAGATTACCGTATAGCGCGCTCGACAAACATCAAACATATCACATCCCTATTTTATTATAGTAAATTACAAAAGTAAGTGTCTTCACATCGAGAAAACAGTCTGGGATCAATGTTATATTCGAAACGTTTTCGAGTTACTAGCTCAACATCAGCAAACAACATCTGAAAAATGTGCAAACTTAATATTACATAGGAAGCAAAACGCATTGTCTTCACATCTCTTTAATAAGCTCAGCACAACAATTGTGCTAAGGGTTTTTGACTGGATGAAATGAAAGACTTAAGAATTATCTTCGCTTACCATGATAATTTCTGACCATCTATTTTATATGCTGCAAGTCTGGTAGCCTTATGGTTAGCGTCTGTCTACCTACTTAATTATTTTTCAGTCTGTCATGGCAGAAAGCCTGCTAGATATCGGTTTCGTTGGTGCTGGTGAGATGGCTTGTGCAATGGTAGCTGGAATAGTTTCAAAGCTGAACCCGAAATCAATCATGGCTTCGTCTCCAACGGGTGCTACAAAATTAGATCGATACGGCGCTGTTTGCTCGAAATCAAACTCTGAAATTTTCAAGAATTGTAAAATTGTGGTGATAGCATGCAAACCGACACAAGTGCCGGATATTCTGAAAGAGTGGAAAGACTCAGTCAAAAAAGGTAAACTGCATACGCAATCCTAGGCTTTTCATTTTCCATTTGAGTTATTTACACTTGAAAAAGTAATCTTGTAATCGGGAACTAGATTTTTTACCCGTAAACAACTTTTCTTATTCACATTCAACTTGCTTTGTTATTCAATCTTAGCAACTTGTAGGATCCTTCGCACTTGCCATTGAGGTAACGCCGTCACTTTTTTACCCTAGGGTCAGGGGTTCGAATCCCGGCCGGAACTTATGTTTTAATGTATTTTTTCATTATTGTTTTTTTATCCGGTAAAAATTGATTTTCAAAGTTTCGTTTATCTGCTCAACTTTGATCGGCTGAGTTGCCACATCACGGATTTTTCTTGTGCTGTAAGCAAGTATAATGTTAGATGCAAGTGTTGTTCATTTTAGTTTCATGTGGGTTATTTTTATAAAATCGAATTTTTCTGCTCAACTGGTTTCCGCTTCGTAAGTTTTGTTCCGTTGCGAATTTCAAGTTCAAATGTTTTGCTTGGCATGTTTGACTAGAATTTTTGTTTGATAAAAACAGCTATTATTAAATGTATGGGATGGGTTTTTGGTTTGTTTGATAGGAGATAAGGAAATTTTGAGACAAGGAAATTTCTGAATTATTGACCGTTTTTTATGGTTTTTTTTTTAATTGTTTCAAAAATTAATTTCCCGAATCTGAGATTGAGTTCAGTAGAGATAACAGGTAGCGGGAAGCTTCCCATTCCCAGAATCAGCGGTAACTCACAATTTTTTAAAAGAGGTATCGCCCACGGAAAAGTCAAAATTTTTGATTTTTTGACCGTTTTTATAAAACTTTGATTGCGTCAGGATTTTATAATTTTCTGAATTTACTGTTCTATATTTCTATATGTTTGTCTTGTATCATGATTGGTGCGAAGCTCGGCTTTTTTCTTGGAAGCTAATTTTGGAAGCATCAAATGGGCGCATAGTCAAATCACCAGTGTTGGAAGCTGCATTGTTCCCCGCGAGTGCATGAGAACGAAGATGTCATCGAAACGAACATGTCATTGAAATTTTTGAGAACGAAAATTTCATTGAAATTTTTGAACGAAAATGTCATTGAAACTTTGAAAAGTTTTTTTTTTTTCAAAGAGTAACCTCTCATATCTCAGTTTTTCCGTTCATATCAGCGGGTTTTTGGAAGCTTTTTTGATACGCGACTGCCTAAATTCCTTTGACACAAAAATTTATGGCACTCGGAAAAGTCTAAATTTTGATTTGTTGGCCGTTTTTTGAAACTTAGAAAGTTCTCGAGAATTTCTTCTCATATCTAAGTTTTTGGGTTCAATCGGAATTACAGTTTGCGTGAATCTCCTTGGACATTTTGAACTATGGAAGACATTTTGCTCAATTGATTCAAAGATTTAACTTCATTAGTTTACTTAGGTCTCTCGAAAGCCTTCGATATAATCAAAATCAGTAACACTTTGCTGATGCGGAAAATCCTTTCGCTAAATCTAGAGAAACCTTTCTAGGAAGTCCTGGCCATTTTTTAACGGATAGGTCTTAATCGGGGGATAGAATAGCGCTCTATCAGATGGTTCAGTTTCGGGCCCTCGTTGTTATTGATTTACCTGGCTCAAAACCTTTTGAAAAAGAAAATGATTTTGATTGGACTCAAACAACTTGGAGTTGAAGTATTCCAAATCATTTACAGTTTGAAGCTTAAAAGATGTGTCTCAGCACATATTTTACATGACTCAGATATTTTCCCAAAATTTTTTAAGAAACCTCTTCTTCGTCAGAATCGGGTCAAGGACCTTGGTGTGTGTATACTTGGAACCTCAAGTTGTCATAGCATACCTCGAGCTAATTCGCAAAATCTGGAGGTTTTCTTTTCTAGTACGCCGTACTGCTTACTTTGGTGCATATACATATAGCATTTACATAGCATATACATCCTTGCGAACTTCGGTGGTCGAAACAAAAAGTCGAAAAAATCATCCCGTTCCACTTTTATAATTTTTTGGGGGCGATGTTTTATTTAATTTAGCCTTGGTTTTTCAAAGTTTTATGTCATCAAAATTATTATTTTTCGCATTTCGGTGTTTCTTTGTTTGCTATGTTCGAGCTACCCTGTCCTTATTATTTCTTTTGTAGTTTAGATTCAATCAAAGCATCGGGAGTTGTATCGATATGTGCCGGAGTCAAATTGAGTCAGTTGGAGGAACTAAATTGTCCAGTAATCCGAATAATGCCCAACTTAGGGGTCCGAGTCGGCGCTGGAACCCTTCCATACTGCACTTCTGCAAACTGCACTGAAGATTTTGAAAAATCAGTTATGTCTATTTTTGAACCTCTCGGTTTAGCTGTAAAAGTACCGGAGAAGTTTTTCAATGCGGCTCAAGGTATCAGTGGGTGTGGACCTGCGTTCATAGCTCTCTTTATTGAGTCTTTGGTGGATGCAGGTGTTCGAGAGGGATTGACTCGAGATGTGGCTTGGAGACTAGCTTGTCAAACAGGAATCAGTCTCACTTTATACTCGCCTCGCGTTCATGTGCGTAACTTCTAAACTCTGTGTTGCATCTAGGCTTTTTGGGAGGGTTTTGTTCGAAAATCAAATTTATTTTGCGGTGGACCAATTCGATTTCTTTTACTTTTTCCGAATTTCAAGGACTCTCCATGAATCCGTTTTTTTTTGTGAATTTTTCTAAATTAAATGGTATAATTAGTCAGTTTTTTTTGCAAAAAATTCAATTAACTAAATGTGGGTTTTTCTGTGAAATAAAAAATAATAATTACATGATCATCTGAGGTTTTGAGAACTGAAACTAGACATTATTTTTTCATTTAATCTTGTTCAGAATCAGAACCTGATGTTTTGTTCAGCATATAACTGCTAAACTAGATCAAAAACAAAGTTTTCTAGTTAAACTAGATCAAGATATACAAAAAGAAAGTTTGCAAACGACTCAAGAGTGAATCGGTTGTTTGTGTGAGTTTAAAGTCAAACTGATACCATAACAGTTTACGGCACTGGGAAGCTCATGTTGGAAACAAACACTTCGCCTTCCGATTTGAAGTACAAAGTTTGCTCGCCTGGAGGAGTATCAATTGCAGGTGTCGTATCACTAGAGAAAACTGGATTCAGATCCTCTGTAATTGAGGCTCATCGAGCTACAATTGAGAAAACGAAGGAAATGGAGAGAGCTGCACAAGGAATGAACTGAAATCGGGACGAGATTCAAATTTTGGATTTGAGATGTGATCTGTCTTTATAAGTCATGTTATAAAAGTATTTAATTTTTTTTGAGATATACAGCTCAAAAAGGTATAAACATTATTTGTTTCCCGTTTTTAAATATTTTCTACAGATCAGATTGAAATAACACGAGTTAACATGATTGTGAAAACTGAAAAGTCAAAAAAATTGTATATGTGTCATCTTCTTTTGGGCTGACTAAAAATTGTGACACTTATTATGGTTGTGAACTTTTAATTAAGGTTGTGTTGAATTGAAGGGATACCAAATGCATTTTATGTTAAACGAAGCGGTTGTAATTTTGAAAAGCATGAAAAAATAAGTTTTTGATTTACTTGGACGAAATCGAAGCAACATGAATTTAAAACCAACATGGCACAAATGGTCGTCTAATTAAACAAGCAGAGCTAGTTCTATTTTTCATAACTGTTTCAGTTTTTTTTCAGGAGTGGTATGAAAAAATTAATAGCTGCGCATATTTTGTTCTTGTGTTTGATTCGCAGTCCTATGTTGAAACAGATCTCGAGCCGGTCTCGCCAATTCCCATCAACGGACACTCTTGACCTTTTAACCAGTTCGGGCTCAGTCGATTATTTACCAACTTTCGCAAAAGATGGACTCGATTTCGAAAACTTCAATTCAATTTCAATGCTGCCCGACGTATCTAAGTTTTGGTCATATACAAATGCAGGTTATGCCGGAATAACACCCGGATATTTCTGGACTCTAATTCTGGACACTTGGGGGAGAACAGGGCCAAGTAGTTTTCAATCAAGTGGCAGTTCGGGTATCTTGTCTGATATCACTGGATCTAATGGATTAACTACCGCGGTAAGTTGAAACTTGAAATGTGGATATTTGTTTAAACCCTGGTCTTACTCAATGCAGGACCATCCGTGGATGATGGGGGGATGTCAGCCATTTAGCGTCGGGTCCACCATGAGGAGGACCCCTCCAACGTGATTGAATCGGGATTCGAACTGACGATCAATGTGATAAAGGCCGAGCGTCTGGCCCTCTCAGCCACGGCTGATCTTTGAAATTGATGAAATCTTTCGTAACATGCGTTACCAATGCTGGCTCTTTTCCAGTAACAAACTTTTTTCCAGTCCATTATTTCTCAAATTTAATTACGCTTTTTTTCGGATTAACAACTAGTTTAACAAAATCATTTGAATCACATATGATGGTGCTATCACTTATGATGCTGCTGTGCTGACATGCTCAGTTTCATGAAAATTCAAACTTAGCTACTGGGTTGGTACTTGTATTCAGGGTAATTTCAGGAGGTCTTTGCAAAAATTGCCATTGGCCCCAAACTTTCCGAGTTTTAATTTAAGCTCGTATTTTTGGACCTAACTGTGTGTGCGGGGGTTGGGGGGTGTTTCAGCGAGAAAAAAAAATTGCCAAACGCACAAAGTTAAAGCCGAGGAGGAACTTTGTTTTCGAGCGTTTTCTTAGTTCCTATCACAAAAAAACAGTGGCTCAAAAATGTCTAGAACGTTTTTGAGTGTCTTTTGTTGCTTGTTTCGAAATATTGGGAATATTTGTTTTCTAAATCTTTGAGTTGTGGTATGTTTTTACAATTGTTTGTTTTTACAGAGTATTGCAATCGGGGACTTTTTTCCCGTAAATAACTTCATGCACAGGACTCATCATTTCATCTCTTGGACTCCTTCATCTTCTGATATGCTCAATTTCCTAAAATTAAAATAAAATTAATTTAACTTGAGTAGTAGTTAGTTAAAGCGAGTTTCAGATTGTAATTATTTTTTAAACAAAATTTCTCATTTTTCGGGTTCGTGGGTTTTGCCATAGTTTATGTCGGATCATTTTCCGTTTTTTTAAAATACCATTTTTTATCTGATAGTGTTTTTATTGGCTTACTTTCTAGAGCATTTGTTTCGTTCCAATTTCATTATTTTTTACTATCATTGAAAGTTCAGTAGTTTGTAAATTTATCAAGTTTGATTTTGGGTTAATTTTTTTTTCACTTTTTTCGTTTTTTAATATATTTAAACAGCTTCAGTGTATATTGTATTGGCTCAGTTAACTTATATTGGATAATTTCGAGGGCAAATATATTCGCATGCGATTATTATTCTCAGATTTGGATGGGTCGTAAAAATTTTTAAAACTTTACGCAACTTTTTATGTTAACCGTTTTGTTTTCGACTCAAACAGGTTTCGATCTAAAATTTGTGCCGCTCGGTAGTTTTTTTTTCAATTCTTTTTCAAGGTGCTTATGAACTTCTTATACAACCATGAAGTTTTTGTAGCTCTATTTTTTTCAAATTTTCAAGTAATTTTTTTCAAGTAAATTTTTTAACTTACCTTTTTTTTGCATCGCAAGTGTTGCGAAGCTCCGCTGCGCCTATGCGTCATAATTAGGTTTTTGGCAGATTTGGTTCTCGTTTTAGCAAAGTGATGCGAAGGACTCCTTCTATTCTGTTTAATCTTCTATTCTGTTTAATAAACTTGCAGCGTCCTCATGAAAAGAATGAAGGACAGGGAAGTTTCTGTTAACGTCTCCTCCAATTTTAACATCTTTGCCTCGCTTACTGCTTCGGTAGAAAATGAAAACAAAATTTTTTAAAACCTTTTGTTGTAAATATTCAGTGTCGTGTCTTTTGACATGAATCCGTTCATTTGTAGGGACTTTTTCTTTGTATGTGAAGTTGCAGAGAGTACGTGCATGTTATTCCTTGGAAAATTAAAAATCTGTAGATATTGAATTAGAATAAAAACCCCACCAAGCAACTCAACAAACCGAAAACGAAAAACAATTACATAATAAAACAGAAGGTTAACAGATTCCCTTCTACTTCAAAAGTGAAGCAGCCTCGGTTAAGGCAGGTAGATTAATTATTAAGCGCCGTACAAAAGCGTTCAGCCTCGATGGCTGATACCACTCGAAAAAACTGCATTATGCAAAGCTCAGAAACAGTACATCTTGCAGGTCCAATTTTTCACATGCTCAGCACTTTAAAAGGAATACATTTATACAACACTAAAGCTCCCGTCTAAAGTTTAAGTGACAATAAAATATCGGAATCACAGTTCAGACGTTTCTAAGCGTCCGGAATCTAAGACGGAGATCAGTTTTTCGCTGCTAGCCCCTCTTTTCCTAAAACAGTCGGCAATGTGCTCACAGTTTGGCACCCAATTAACAGAACGTATTACTTTTTCACTCTGAGATTGTCGAATTGTTGCATTATCCAATCAGAGTCGCTTTTCTTCTACAGCTTTCGTGGACTGCAGATTGTCGCAGAGTATGGCAGATATACGTATGGCTGTCGTGTTTTTTTGGCCAGAGTTGTCGTACGGGTTAAAGACTTGCGCCCCTAAAAAGTTTTATTTTCCATATAAGATAACCAATTTTCACTCCAAAAGTCAGCGGCTCAAGGACCACCTTGATCTATGCTTTTGTTAATTTTGTTTGAGGTTTAACCAGCAATTCCTGAAAAAAAAAATAATTGAATAAAGGTTTTAAGCAGTGCACTACAACGGTTCAGTGTATAGAGCTAATCAGATCATATATCGGCCTTTACCATGGATAGTTGATGGGGGTAGGGGGTGGGAGCAGGGGCGGATTTAAGTGGGGGGACGCCTTCCCTCAGGGATTCGACCCCCTGCCGACCCAAAGGGTCCCCCTTTTGAACTATTTTGAGATATCGATTTTGGTGACGGAACCTAAAATTTTTCTAAAGGTGCCTTTGGCGCCAATATATACTTATTTAAAGGGGGCAGCGCGCGCCGAAAAAGCGCGATTTTTAGGTCAAAATTTTCCAACAGTTTTTTGGCCTGTTTTTGCCTACGGCGCAAAAAATTTGACCAAAACGGTCTTTTTGATGCTTTGGGAGAGCTCGGAAAATCAGTTTGGTCGACCTATAAAAAAGTCGACAAAATTTTTGAAAATCCGCCCCCCTCGAAAAAATCCTAGATCCGCCCCTGGGTGGGAGTATGATCTTTCTCATGATAGACCCCAGACTAGATACAAAAACATTATAGCACCTACACTGAGCTTACCAAAATGGGGGCTTTAAAGGGAAAGACACGATAAATGGTGCTAATTTGAGTTGATTCATGGATGATTCATTATATCTCAACCTAGTGTGTGTTGATAGGACATAGAAGCAATACAGTCCTCGTACAAAGAAGACGAACTTCTATCTTCGTCATCAGCAAACAGTTATAACCACCATAACTATTTCCACCACCAGCCACAGACAGTTGAACTACCGAGCTGTTCTTTTGACTCCTACAAGGAGAACTACAAGTTTGGACTACCGGCTAGACATCATCTTTCCTCTCAAGTGATGAGCATTTCGATAAGTTAAAAGGATACTTCAATTTTAATTGTATTTGCTTCAGTTATGGCTAGCTATTCGTAGTTTGGAAAATTGAATAGTTTGGATAGTTTGGAAAACTGAATGAAAATTGAAGAAAAGTGAATTTTCATGGGACAATCGATGGTAGCCTTAAAAACGTTTTAAAAGCCAATTTCATCATTAAAGATATGAAAGTCCGTCAAAATTAAGGTTTGAATTGGGCCAAGATTCGGTAAACCTCGAAAAGATTATTCGACTGTTTTTCTCACAGACGAATATGACGTTTATAATTAATCTGTCAGGTAATGATATCTTCATTTTTTGAGATTTATAAAATGAAATTGCAGTTTGATTTCAAAACTTAAACGGTATAATTAATGGTGGACTTAACTGAAATTGCTCACCACTTGTTTTAACAGCTAGAAGAACAGACAACATGCGATGCGAAACTTTCATTTGATAAATCTTTATCTGTCGACCTTCTAGAACCTTCTTTAAAAGAGAACGTTCTTCTTTTTGACATCGATAACTTGCTCGCTACTAACGAATCATCAATAGAACCACAAGGACCTGCCCAAACTAGAAACGAGTTTCAAAATGAATTCGGATCGGAGTTATTGTTGAATAATTCGGCACCGGAAGTGGATAATTTTGACTGGTCCTTTGATCTTTTCGAGGAGGATGACTCATTTAAATTTGGAGAGGATCAACATGCATCTATGTCGACTCATACTTTTATCGGACCAAGAGATGAAATTGATAGTTTCGATTTGTCTGAGATAGGTTTCGATACTTTGGAGAGAATTGAACCCGTTCAGGGTACGGACGATCACTTGTACAGAAGAAACTCAGAAGAGAGTTTCGATATGGATCTTTCACTACAGCAAACCAGTAAGTTAATGTCAGTTATGAATTAGATGATACGCATTTCTGACAAGTTTGTGCAGGATAGTTCACTTGGAGAAATAGCGAAACTAATGGATCATATTTATTAGTGGTCAAAGCAGAGTTTCATTACGACGACCTTTGAACTGTTGGCTTTTTTTCCTCTCCCACCTGCAAATTGTTCCTGGTAAAATATTTGTTCACATTTTTTTATTATGAAAAATGACAAGCGGGTTAGTTAGGCCACGACAAACGTATGTGGACTTCATACTTAACCTTGTAAGTTTGCCGAGTGATGGATGACCATTAAGATTAACTTATTTTGTGGCTACCTTAAAGAACAGGTAGAAAAGAGTGAAATGGTTAAAATTTAAAGCTTTGATTAAAAGGTATTTTCAAGCTGAGCTGCAGATTTTTTGTACCAATCTTCGCAGGGGCGGATCTAGGATTTTCTCGAGGGGGGGGGCGGATTTTCAAAAAATTTTCCAAAATTTTGACGACCTTTTTTTTTTTTTTTAGGTCGACCAAATTGATTTTTATTTTTCGCGCTCTCCTAAAGCACTGTTTTGCCCTTATTTTGGCTAAATTTTTGAAAAAACAGTGTCAAAAAAGCCGTTTTTGGGCACTTTTTGAAAAATTTTGACAAAAAAATGCGTTTTTTTGGCGCGCGCTCCCCCTCACAAATAGCATCTATTGGCGCCGAAGGCGCCTTTAGAAAAATTTTAGGGTCGGTCGGCCAAAAATGGATTTCTGAAAAAGTATCAAAGGGGGGGACCCTTTGGGTCGGCAGGGGGTCAAATCCCTGAGGGAGGGGGCGTCCCCCCCCCCCCCCCCCCCCCTAAATCCGCCCCTGAATCTTCGTGAGCTTTCGTTTCGAATAGATTATTAATTTTATTCATATATAAAATTAACAATTTTGTTTTTGTGTATTAAGACTAGCCAACGCAGTGTATTACTATAACTCCACTTTTTCCAACCAAACTTGCAACTAAAAGTGCTCACTTATTGCGACCTTTGCTACAATCACAATATGAATTTTTGGAAATTTCAAAGCATCTGTTCTCTGCTTTATTTATGGCCAGTTTTTTCCATTTTTTTAACAAGCGTGGCACAGATAGACGGAAGTTAGACTCCTAATCTACTGGGCGGAGGCTCAACGCCACACTTAATTCTATTTTTTATATATAATTGGTGGCATTTGTGATGCATAGCATTGGCAATATATTAGCATGTATAGCTGCTTCATTGAAAGCAAGTGTTGGCTAGCTTTCAAGAACCCATGTAAGACTCCAAATCTCGAGGTCGCAGGTTCGAATGCGACACAGCAAAGTTTAACTAATTCGAGGCTTATTTCTACCCTTCTTAGTTCTTTTCATAGAGCTGCTTTTTGTCATTTTCTCGCTAGTGTTTCCGAAGCGAAGCTTCGTCTCTGTGTTATTTTACAATTAAAGCTTTTGTTTTAGTATGAACTATCTTTTTTTCCAACCTAAGTCGCATATATTGTTGCGACGCAAATATTGCTGCGACAAAGTGTGTTCATTTTGAAAGTGTTCGTTTTGATCAATAACCAGCCACTAAGGGCAGCCAATGCTAAGGATATTAACACAGACTATTATATTACAAATAGCTATTTAGCTTCAAGGTATCATGGATCTGTAGCGTAGAGGTAGGGAAGGAGACCCGCAACAAAATAAGAGGGTTCGAACCTGGGCAGGGTCGGATGTTAATGAACTTTTTTGCATACCAGTTAAAATGCGTCCGCTCTATAAATTGAGGCATATTAGTTGGTAATTTTTTTCTTATTGATTGGTACTGCTAATGCGTCATGATTCACTTAGCAATTATGTAGACTCATAATTGGCGTGCGTCACTTAAGAAATTTTGTAGACTCAAAGTTTTACTCATTCTGGCTTTCCCAGTAGCGTTATTGGTAATATTTTTGCTTGTGTATGCGAAGTGCAACTTTGCCTTTTTGTAATTTATTACAAACAGCAACATTAATAAATTCATCGAAATAACATCATAAAAGTGGTTAAGACTGTCGAGTGATGCCGTTAATCTTGCTCCTTGCCAAACTCAAGAAAATGATTTTTTCCCATTAATAACTTTGTTCAATGAACTCATCGCCTGGACTCTTTCATTTACTAGTTTTCTCTGTCGGAACTAAATTTTATTTTTTTTCCGTTTATTCTGCTTAATAGGTTTTGGCCTTTTTTTATTGACTTAATGGCCTCATATTGCGCCGTTTGATGACCGAAAAGAGTTTTTGTGTGCAGGTGTAGCTGTTTTTCTGGGGGGAGCGGGACTTTTGTTAGTTTCAAATCTTTTTAGTTTTTTTTTCGGCTTGAAGGGTTTCGGCTCAGGTTTTTTTTGGCTCTGTTACCGCTTTGTAAGCGTTATTCCGATGCTAATTTCGCAAATTTAATGTCTGGGCAGGTTGTTTTTTCAAAACGATGTTAATTCATTTTGATAGATCTAGTTGTATGTATAATTATAGAATTTGGTTTTTATTCTTAGATTTTTTTCGCTTGTTTCTGAAGTGCAGCTTCGCCTGTGTTGATGAGTGGTACCGGGTGTTCTTTTGTAAATTTCATGCTTCGCGTTTTTGTTATTTGGTAATACGCCGATACTGAAATTTGTTTTGAAACGATACAAGGATGCCACGAACTTAGTCATTTTTTGTAGTAAACTGTTTATTTGAAAAAGATTTTCATCTAACTTTAAACCAAATACCTAATTTTTTTGTTTGCTTAAGTGACATTTCAAATCCGCGCTGGTTTCATTTGTTTAACAATGTTTCGTTATAGCGTATTTCATCTGTCCAGATCCATATCATTTTGTGACTATAGTTTTATGCACATACCTAAGCTTTTTTCAGCAACGACGCAACCCACAGCTAACACTAACTTCTACTTAACCAATCACGCAATCGCTACAACCCACCATCAATACCCACTAGAATACAACCACCACCACATCGACTCAGGTTCGAATCCCACCCACGCCAACGCCATTATCCGACATAACACAGCTACAAAAACGACGACGACGCACCAACAACCTACTTCAGCTACCGAAGCACGATCGGTCAAACCAGATCAACCCGAGGACAGAAACCACCGAGCTACGACAACAACTTCTACTACACTTGAAAACAGCCCAGAAGACATACAACCAATCTTGCCATTTAGTCCACTTATACATGCTAATTCAGTACCATTAGGCACTACCAACAATGTGACTTGTTCGAATCATAGCTACCCTAAAAAATGGTCAGACGATGAAAGTTTATTAAGCCCAGCTCAGAAATTATCACCTGAACCACTGTTGGTGAAACTTGAAAGTGAAGTTGAATTTAAAACAGAAGAAAGTAATGAAAAAAGAGAAGGCGTAAAATCTCGAAATCGCGAGGCGAAGAAAACGACTACTACAGCAAATTCGTCGCGAAGTCGTGAGGGGCCGACAACAGCCGAAAACCGCATACGAGAAGAGGATGTTCTCTCTGTGCTGGCGACGAGAGGAGTTACGAGGGAGCATATAGTGAATTGTTTGCTGGATGATTTCCACAGGATAGTGGCTGTTTTGAGAACAGAGGAACATAGACAGACAGTGAAAGAAATTAGAAAGCGAGGTAAGTGCGATCACCAGTGAATTTAGAGGAAGCGTACTTTAAATGTTTTGGTCTAAATTTTCCAAAAATTTCCTAAAATGCCTTTCTTGGCATATTTATTTTTTTAATTTTGCTTGCGGCGCAGACATTTTGGTCCAAATATGGTCTATATAGTGATTGGTGAGAGCTCAAAAAATCAGTTTGGTCGACCTAAAAAAAGGTAGAAAATTTAAGATTTTTTGAAAATCCGCCTCTCAGCTCACTTTATTGTGTCAAAAATCAAAAAATTATTGATGAAAAATTTATATTATGGTTTTTATAATAGCTGACATAATTTAATTGTAATCGCGGAGATTAAAAAATTGGTACTGATTTTTAGTAGCGTTTTGAGCAGGGGAGTGGGTTGAAGGGTACAACCCCCCCCCCCCCCCCCCCCCCCACCCACCGACGAATTCGGTGCCCTCGTCACCCACAATGTTCCCCTTGGTACTATACGCTAAGGGTCTCCCTTGATAGTAACAGGTGCCCTTGGCGCTAAATCAAATATTTGTAAAGGAGAGCGCAAACCTTCGAAAATGTGCTCAAAATGGTGCTCTTGTGACTTTTTCTCAAAATCTGTTAAAAACTTTATTCAACTTCTGTCGATATTATTTGAGTTTGTGAATCATTTCAAGGTCGCAACAAATTGGCAGCTAAAAGAGTGCGAAGCAAAACCTCAACGAAACTAGACGAAACAAGATCAAATATAGAGGAGTTAAAAGCAAGACGAGAGGAACTCCTTCAAAGGCGGCAGAAATTACTAGAAAAGTTGAATCGTCAGAAACAAATGTAAGTAAATATTCAGAAAACCGTCAGTAAATAGGTTTGCTTTTTTTATCGTCTGAATTAGTTCTCGATGAAATTCACGAATTTTTTTAACCTTGCAAATTGATGAAAAGTCAGTTAATGGTTGAAATTTACAGATGAAGCCAATTGACATTTTTGGTCATTTTGTCCTTATCTGCGTTTTTTCCAACGCAGATGAAACAGTGTTACGCAATTATTTCGCTATTTGTTTCAGCAATAAAGACCTCTTGTCACAAATGCGTTCAAAATAAGACCAGCCAAACAAACCTCTCGACTATTGTTAAGCAGGATTTGGGGAACTGGTTTCAGCACAGAATACAGCCAACAGTACTCGACTGACAAAGCGACTTGACTTCGAATCTCGTTTGATTTATATCACAAAATGTAGTGCCTGAAAATGATAATGATGTTGTGCTACTATAGTACGATTTCTTTTTTGGGTATTGTATTTAATGCAAGTAGACTAGATTTGGAAATTATTTCATTCGTAAATCAGTTGTATAAATAATTAATTAGGTTAATTGAAGCTCAATTTTAGATTTTTTTTATCTGAGTTTTCACTAATTGCAAACCTTCTATCTGGAAAAGTCAAATTTTTCGGTAGAGTTACTTTATTTTTTAAATTAGTTTTCTTTAAAATAGTCAAAATGTAATAAATGAGGCGATTTTTAAAGTGAAAGTGGACGAAGTTAGTTTCACTCATTTAGATCGAATAATTTTGTATTTTCCTGAAAATTTCTGCGAATTATGAACGCTCTCTAATGGGCGCTGATCAAAAGAGTTTAGAATAAGGCCGTTGTTTTTTCCAGAGAAAACCTGCTGATTAATGCTCATTTTCTATTTGAATGTGAGTTTTTACTGGAGGGAACAAAGTCAAATTTTTTTTCTTTTAGAAAATCGAACAAATACCTCTAAACAAATCTCCAAAGTTCGTCTCAAATGATCATCATTTTGTGGGAAACATGTAAAAAAACGCAATCACATCCGTTGTTGTGAAAAATGCAAATTAAATACGCGGTCATGTAAATGAAGGAGTTATATAGTATAGAGAAGTTCTTCTAGGGAGTCAACTTCTTCTAGGGAGTTTTTACTTGTTTGCACGTTTTTTCAATTTTCAAAGAGGAGTTCAAACGATGAAAAGCGAAATTTCAACGGAAAGTTACAAAAATAGCTCTTGGATTTTTACGGCAAATTGACCCATGCGAATTTCTAACATTTTATTATCATTTCTTAAAGCGAAAGAAAAATACGCTCGCGAATAGCAGAATTGCAAATGAAGCGAGAAATGGAAATTGAGGATCAGTTTCAAAAAATGATATCATATCTGTTTTTCCCTCAGAATAAAAATGATAGTTTCCTGTTTCTCTTGAATTGGTTAACTTTGAAAATTTTTAATGACTTGTGGTTCTTAAAAGTTACGGCTTACATTGGTTTTCTTAATTTTCAGATTTCTGATAATTGAAAAGAAAATAAAAAATGGGTAGTTGTTAAAGTTTCTTTCAACGAAATTATTATTAAGGCCAACAACACGCATTAAAGTTTCTGAATACTGTCATTAAAGTGTTACGGAAAATAAAAACGCTACTAATTTTTAATTTGATAAGTAAATTTCAGTTTAGGATTTCAGCAGCGAAACAGTTTTTTCCTCTGAGACTCAAAGTTACAAACAAAATTCAAAAATGTAAGCTTATTTTTTACTTTTCTAAGTTCACTGACTCTTCAACAACTCTGCTGGCTATGTTTTTTTCGGTTTCGATGAGTTCATTCACGTGTCTGACTTCCTTGACTCCTGGTTTTTCTTAGTCAATTATGTGCGAAGTGTGAATGAAGAGGTTTGTGTGGTGCAGGGGTTGGATGTTTCAATATGGCGCAGCAAGGGTTGGATTTAATCAAACCCCCCCCCCCCCCGCAGTCGAAGTTTTTCTTAAAGTCTAATCTCTCTTTATTCTGGTCATAATCCTTTCTAAAACTCAAATGAGAGAACCTTTAGCTGTGTAATTTGTTGATTTGTTATTCTCGGTAGTTCAGAAAGTATTTAAATTTAAAAAATGGAAGTTAAGTTGTAACGGAAACAACTTCAAGAATTATGACATTTCAACGAACTAGATTTTTCAACGGACGCGAAACAACAATTTTTGTATAATCATGAAATTTTTCGAAGAAGGGAACAATTTGTTTAGATTTGACACATATCCATTAAAAATCCCACCATCAAAGAACACCAAAAAGCAGCATGAAGGCGATAATTGTACCATTGCATTTGCATTCATTTTTACCCATCGATTTCTATTATTTTTTTTACAATTTCTTTTCTTGAAAGCATCTTGGTTAACTCTGTCACGTTTCCAAAACATAATTATTTAGTGACAGCCCGCCTATAGTTTCGTATCATTTTTCATTCAAACAACGTGCGCTTAAAAATGCCATTTCATGATTCACGACTTGAAATGATTTTAGTTTTCAAGCTCACTTTTTTATTTTCACATTTTTCGCTAAAAGGCACATAAAAAACTAGCCTTCCTCTGTGAAAGTGAAAATTCAGCCTACAATATCCAAGTATCAAACGTTGCATTCGGTTTTCTCGTAGTCTGATAAGGAAAATTCTACTAAAGTTTCTACATTTTGACTAAAACTTTAAATTACATTCGAAGAGATAAAACATGAAACAATTAATTTAATTAGATTCAAATTTCAATTTTTGTCTCCTGTTTGATGAAAATGCATTCATGGGATTGGGTTGGTTGCCAATAAACGACTCTGTCAAATTTCAGTTAAACGGTTCAGTCAAGAGAACAGGTGGTAGGAATTTTCTTTGCTTGAGCGGGCATGTTCTAATATTAATAGAAAAATAGTTTTGGGCTTAATTCCGTTTGCAGTTTAGTCCATTTTTAAGAGTTCTGAACGTAGTGAGAACTCTTTATATAGGTCTTGGTGATTTTTTTTTGTTTAAGAGAATGAACGTAGTGAAGACTCTTATATAGGTCTTGCTGACTTTTTTTGTTTGTTCTTTTTTCAGGAAAAAGTCTTAAAATATTGATGCACTTAAGTATAATGCAATTTTTGAGTTCAATTGAAATTCATCTGCTGAAAGTGACGTATTGATTCAGTTTATTCAAGTTGGTTTCATGTTATCAAAAAGTTCAAAGAGTGTACAGGGCATCTATTTTTTTCTTTCAATTTCGAAAGTTGAGATTTTTTCAAGAAAGTCAATGTTTTTTTTTCTGTTTACTTGCGTTCATTACTCTTTTCCAATTTTCGATTGGCTGTTTTTTTCAGGAAAAAGTCTCAAAGTTTGTTCACGCTCAATTTTGGTTTTTCGTGGTTTGATTTCTATTCACGTTCAGTGCATTTCCATTGTTAAAATGAAGGTAACTTCTACTGTTGAACTGCAAAATTGTAAAGGTAACTAAAAACGTTGTCGACATCAAACTTTTAAAATGGAAATTAACTATTAGATTTGCCTATTGATCCTTTTTTCTCAAATTGGGCTTATTTTAACAAAAAAGTGTCCATCATAAATTGTTCTGCAAATTCGAAGAGCTTTAAGGCCATCTATTTTTTTCTTCGAAATTGAAAAGTTGACGTTTTTTTTTTTGAAAAAACAAGTCAATTTGTTTCAAGTTTCGTTGAATTCATTACTCTTTTCCAACTGTCAGTTGGCTATGTTTTGAAATTTTCACCGTTTATTAGAAACTTTTGGTTTTCTCGTTAACCACTGTGCTACCGTGATTGAAAGTAATTAAAACAAGTTCAAGGGGTGAACCCTGCATTAACGGATTCTCCCAATTTTGGCAAGGAATCAGCTGTGGTTTTGGAAATGTTGAATTTTGACACATTTTGAAATTTACGCCCAATCTTCGGCAACATTATATTTCTCAAAATTATTAAACATGTACTTCCAGCTTTAGCTGGGCCTCTAGTTTGAGACAATAAAAATCAGATAAGCCTTCATAAATTCAGTCCTGCGATGCAAAAATTTTATAATTGTAGCGCTCATTTTTTGAAGCAGGGATTCTTGAGATTTAAGACGATCTGAATAACTCAGTTTTGTCCATTTAAAAAATATGGCGTTGTTGTTGTTTGTAGCTGCTAACAGGATGGTCTTTCATTTCATGTTTTCCGTTTCCTCTATTTACAGTGATCCATAATCAAAGATTGTGAGTATTGATTCATCATTTCGTCTCATCCGTGAAACACTACTCTACACTAATTAATTGCCGGGACCCCCCACCGGCAACACAAATCGACTTCTTCGATTATTTTGATAGCAACCCCCCCCCCTATGAAAAACGTCTTTTTTGGTCGGAAAATGTCCACCCCAAGGTAATTTTTGATTTCTGCGAATTGCGTTCTGTAAAGCAACTGTGGCTTTCACAGCTTTCGTTGAGATCGGGAAGGCTCCTTTTTAAAGTACTGAGTGAAACCCGTTCTAGAAGGCAGTTTTTGGTACTCTTTGCTCGGTTCAAGCATGCAGTTTTCAGCTAGTCTGGAGAACCTAGAAAAGTTCCTAATGTGCCGTTTTGTTGGTAAGTTGAGCCATTTCGCGACTTAAAGAATTAGTAAAAAAAAATTGTGAGATCCTAGTCTTTGATTTTTTATATCATTCAATAAGTATTGTCGTCCAGCGCTTAAATTTGGAAAATTATTTCATCTGTGATCATTTTTTGTAAAGTTATGGGGGTTTAAAAATTGCCATTTTGGCCAATTTGGGACAATTAACGCGCGATATGTTTCGCGCTATTAAAGCGTAAGCGGAGATATAATCCGTCATAGAAATCGTTCCAAATTGGTTGAAGGAAGCTTATATGCCATAACTGATTTGTTACTAGGAGCGAAGTTTGTCACTTTGTACTTAATATGGCGTGTGGGGGGATGATTTCACAAAAAATCTCAAATTAAAAAAAAATTTATTTTTATTACATTTAGTTTTTTCTTGTTATTACTGCTCCATAGACTGCTCTGTAAGTTGAGGCGTGTTAATTGATAAATTGTTTTAAATCAAATTGACTGGTACTGCTAATGCATCATAATTAGCGTGCATCACTTAAGAAATTTTGTAGACTCAAAGTTTTGCTCATCCAGTTGTTCCCAGTAGCGTTATGGCTTATATTTTTGTTTGTGTATGAGACGTGCAACTTCACCTCTGTGTCTAAAGTAACATAAAATTCCCCAACCCTGAGGACAAGCACTCAATCAAATTTACGCAGCCTTTCTGTATCATATTTTTTTTGTTCTATTTAAAGATTTTGCGCCTCAATTTAAAAGTGTTTAATTGTCAAAGATAGCTAATCAGATTTACAGTCTCTCACAAGAGCACCCTTGGTTAGTGGAAAATCCTGGGTTTTCTGTTGGAGTCATGGCCTTTACGTTGGAAATATATACAATCATTTAATACGCAGGTAAGTTCGAGTTGAGTGTTAGAATTGAATTGAATGTAAAAGTGAAAAGCAATTGTTGCATATGAATTTTAATTATATCGTTTTTTAACCTTAGCTGCATTGAAATTCTAGGGAGACTTACATTTTGTTCACGTTCAAATCATCGCAAACCAATTCTTAATGCCGCTAACATTATAATTTCAGATGCGGTTCTGAAAACTACAATTCTTAGAATTATGTTCTGAATGTTTCACTTCAAGCAACATCTGAATGCTTGCACGCTACGTGCCGCAACATGCTGTCCTGTGCATGTGAACAGTTGCAGATTGGGATCGAACTTTATAAACTCCAAAACTGCAGCTCAACTGTGGCAGAGTGTGACTCCTCATGACCAGAAACCACACACGGGTCAGTAGTTGTTGTTCAGCTCTTTGTCATTAAGACCCTCCCCCCCCATCCCCGTCCGGCTCTCAAAAAAATTTCGATCCCTGTAGAGTTGAAAATCAATGCTTCAAATGCACAAAAAATTGAAACAGAAAAAACAATGAGAGCTTTTTGCTGTGCACCACTTTTTTATCAGTCGTACAGGATTTATCTGAAAACCGATTTTCACCAAGTGAATTACATAAGATATAGCGAAACCCGAGTTTGTTTCTTTTTGTGCAATGCTGAGAATTTATCAAAGCCCTTTGTGCATTTCAAGGAGTCTAAAAGCGAAGAAGTACAACCAACCGATCTTAGATGGATTCTGAAACGCACAAACACGAAATTTGTGCCTTCCCCCTCTAAGTTATTGTCAAAAAAGTCATTAAGTGATTGTCGAGCGAAGCTCTTACAGTGCTGATTTAAATTATCCTTAGAAAGCGAATAAAACTTGAAACTCCAAACGCGTTTTTTTTACGTTGGATTGAGATTAGACAAAAAGTGAAGAAAACAGAAGTTCAGAGTTTCACCAGAATGCTTCTGGTGCATTTTTTTTGCGACATTTGCAACTTAAATTTTACCTCAAAAATGAAAATGAGTCTATTTGGTTTTTTAGTGAATCATAAATTACGCTAAATCTACCAAGTTAATTGATATAAAATTTTTAATTAAAAGAAGGCTCTTACACAGTCCAAAAAAGTTCTTAAATGATAAGACCTGTATAACAATAGAATTTTGCTTGGCAGCCAAAAAGGTAATTTTTAATATATAAAACTCAAAATCTTTATCAAAGTTTCAAACGTTTTGCCCAAAATTTTAAAGATTTTACTCTCGGAAAATTTTGTTGGGCTGTGTAAGCGGCTTCTTTCGATCGATATAATGTTGTTGGTTTTGTCCGCTTAATTTAAGTCATTTCAATTCAGAGATGGACACATATCCGCTTCGCCACCGCTCTCTTTATTAACCAAGTAAACATTTAAAGGTGGAAAGCGGTTAATTAGACGAGCAGTAAAGGACTTAAACTTCGGCAGGCCAGTGGGCACGGGCAAATTGGGCATCCAATGGCCGGGACTGAATGCCCCTGTGAAGATTGCCCACTACAATGAGAAGATGCAAAAGGCATACGAAGGAGGTGAGCAAAATATAGTTAATGACTAATTGTTGGCAAAATCGGTGGCCTTGAGCAATCTAATTGGTCAAAAACTAAAGCATTTTAGGTTAATTAGTTTGTCGGTTCCGTTTTTACGTGTGGAAATCAGTAACAAGATGAAATTCGACGTGAAAATGAGCAGTTTTAGGTTAATTAACTTCGTTCAGATTCGTTGACCGAAAAGGATATTGCCAAGAATTTGGCATTAACTATATAGTAAGACAATTTAGTTTTGCAGGACTCAATAGTTTGGGTTTTTCTAAGTATCAATAACGCTGTGAAGACACTTGTATAGGTCATGTTGATTCTACTTTTTTTTTTCAGATCAAATTTTATTTTTCGGTCTTAATAATTTTTCGGTCCCAATAAGAGTTTTTTGGTCTCAAGTTTTAAAGGACTCAATAATTTGTGTTTTTCTAAGTGTCAATAACGTAGTGGTGTCAACAATTGGATCAAATTTGATTTTTCGGTCTGAGTTATAGTTTCTTTTTAAGTTCAATTTATCTTCATCTGCTCAAAGGAAAACACAATAGGTTCTCAAATCACGAGAGTGGAAGTAGGGCGAATGAGAAACCTGAACATCTAGTGAATGTGCATTTAAAATATAGTTTTTAGATTGCGCAGCGTAATAAAAATTTTACCTATTCATTCAGTTTTCGAAAGTGGAATTTAATATTCAGATTTCCAAGCGGAATAAAAATTTTACCTCTTGATCCAGTTTTCTCAAATTTAATTAATTTTATCTAAAAAGTGTCGATTATAATTTGTTCTTGATACTCAAAGAGCTTTAAGGCCGGATAGTTTTTCTTTGAAATTCGAAAGTTCAAAAATTTTTTTTTAAAAGTTTTTTTCTTGTTTTCTTGCTGTCTTTTGGCTATGTTCATTTAATGGGCAAAACTGAATTAACTTAAACCATTTTGAGTTATCTTTTTAGTCTTAATCTTACTTTTTGTTCAAGAATTAGCTTCGAATTCGTATTTTAGGCTCAGACGAAGTTCCCCTTCCTGGTTCGCATGGCCTGACCAAGTCCTGGATGCAATCCGAAAGTGCTGCACGCAAGCTTGTCTTCTCGAAACGAGCTATAAATGCAGACGAATTATCTGAAACTTCAAGGTCCGATCAATCACCACCAAGAAACAGAAATGATGCTGGAGATCAAAAAGGCTACCGAGGTTTCGTGAAAACTGGAGCTGGTCGAAATTCAAGAGAGTTTTCAACGTTATGCAGTTCTAAAAGGGACATTGACTTTGTTAACATCGTGAATGTAATATACTCGAAGCGAGAGTTTTCAACATTATGCAGCTCGAGCGGGAACCTGAACTTAATTAATGATGTGAACATAACTGATTTGAGGAGTTTTTCAAGTCAAGGGGGTTCAAATACCGGAGTTAGTGGAGGTGGCGTTCGTTCGCCAGCTAGTCGCTTCAATACAGTTCGTATTGATCAAGCTTTAGGATCTATTAAAACCATGAGAGAAAAGCAAGCGGAAAAATTCGACGCTGCTGAAAAACGAATTAAAAAGAGAAGTTATAATGCGCCTTTGAGTATTAGAGGCTGGACCTCGAAATCTCTTGGAGGATTGTCAGTTGGAGCTCCTTCGCCAAAGGGTAATCTTTAGCTAAAACTTGAAACTTTTTAACCTTTTCTTAATGTCCAGGCCAGCTGTTTGAAGGAAAGAGGTTTGATTTGTCATTTCAGTTTAATTTGCAATGGTTGGTTTAAAAAAACTGATTTAAGCAACCGTAGTAATTAAAGTCTGGATTGTTTTTGCTGTTTTTAGCGCGTGTATGCAACAACATATTGCTTTTTTAGAGCGTGTAGAGCGAAATGCGACAACTTGTTGCTGTAAAAATTACCTCTGATCTAATTCTTCGGCTGGGCTTTTCTAGCTATATTTGTATGGCTAGATTTGTGTTGTTCTCTTACTACGAAAAATTGATAGCATGAAATTTCAAGGAGCTACGGACTTCCATTTTTAGGTGTCGTGGATTATGAAGGTTTCCAGACGAAGATCTTGGAGGTCAAAAGAGTCTGTACGATGAAAGGGAGGTTTGGAAGAGTGTACAAGAAATGGGTTCTTGTTGCGTGTGGAAATCAAAATGGTCTGATTGGATATGCGTTTGCAAGAGGTATGTGAATGTTAACATTACTTAGCATAGAATTCATGGCGATTGCTTGACTTTTGAATCGGCTAATTCCTGGAAAAACTGTATGTATATAGGCAGGGGTGGATCTAGGGTTTTTCGAGTGGGGGATTTTCAAAATTTTGTCGATCTTTTTTAAGTCGACTAAATTGATTTTCCGAGCACTACCAGAACACTATAAAGACCTTGTTCTGACCGGAAGTTGTGTGCCGCAGGCAAATTAAAAAAAAACGGGTCAAAATCGACGTGTTTGGGTACTTTTTGAAAAACTTAGACCATAAAATTGCGTTTTTTTTCGGCGTGCTCCCCTTTGGAATTAGTATATACTGGGCGTTTTAAAATTTTAGGGTTAGTTGGCCTAAAATGGGTGCCTTTGGTCGGCGAGGAGCTCGAATCTCTGAGGAAAAGGTGTCAACTCCCCTGCCCTCCTTAAATCCGCCTCTCTAAATAAGTTACTCTTGTACATGAAGAAGTAACAAACAATTGTCTACATATAACTCAAAAATAAGAACTTCGGAATTCCTTTTAAGTCTTTGGCCTTAAAATTATGAATTTTTGTTAAGCACTACTTGACTTTTTGTTGAAGTTTTCAAAATTTTTGTGTTTCCCACTTTTTTGAGAAATTTTATGATTTTTGAGCTTTTCATAAGTATAATTTAGGTCTTTTTTTATATTCATTATTAAGTTAATGGCAGATGAATTTACTGATTTGAAACGAATGATTTTTGTTTGATTCAGCCGATCAACTGACACAAGCGGTGCGTATTGCGAAGAACAATGCATCCAAGAAGTTGATCTTCGTAGAGAGACACAACAATAATACAATATACACTGACTCAACAGTTGATATGGACAGGACCACTGTTCATATGAGGAGAGTGATGCCAGGACATGGACTCAGGTGTGTACCACTCATTTTGGCGTTTTTTAAGAGTCGATATACGTAATCAATCACCCATTGAACGTAGATAATGGTCAAGCTCTTATAAAGCTCGTGAAGATTTTTTTCAGGAAAAGTCCTAAAATTAGTTCACATTCAAATTTGATTTTTTTTGCGGTTTGACTTTTGATTTTTTTTTGTCAAGTTCTTTTCGTTTACTTTTTCAAAACCAAGAAAAACTTCACTATCTTACAACATAATGATCAAGCTTACCAAAAACTATCAACTTCTAGTTTCGAAAGTGGAATTAAATTTTCAGATTTTCCAGTGGAGTAAAAACTTTACTTTTTGATCCAGTTTTCTCTCATTAAATTAATTTTATCTAAAAAGTTTCAATTGGAGTTCAAAGATTTTTAAACTCTTATATTTTTAATTTTGAAATTTGGAAGTTCAAGTTGAGGTTCAAAGTTGACTCTTGCTTTCATTGACTCTCTTACAAAGGATGTTTCACTCATTCCTCCCATATTTCAGAAGCTCATAATTACCTTGACGATCAGTGTTGTTAACCAAACTAGCGTAGTATTTTCTAACCTAACCCGCAAATAAAAGTGTTCATTGAAAATTGAACGTGTTCACTTATTTGGTGGCGTTTTTGCTATCATCACAGTCTAGCGTTGGAATTTTCATAGCAACGGTTCTCTGCTTTGTTTCTGGCTAGTTTTTGAGATTTAATAAGCGTCCGTGGCTGATTGGTTTGTGCGTGAGACTTAGCTCAAAACTATTTCACGCGATCATTTTTCGAAGTGAAGGGGATAAAAATTATCTGTTGCATTTCGCGCGAGTTGCTCTTTCGGTATTGGAGAGAGTAATTTGCCTTCCTTGAACTGAGTTGAATTGAGCTTCAAAAAAATCGAAAATCAAACTGGCGAAAAGGAAACAAAAAATTTCAACATGATCCATATAAATGTCATCAATACGTTCAGTGACAGTTGAACTGAAAGTAAATAGGATTGCTCGCATCTGTAGAAGTTATAAGGAGGTATATACAGCTTTAAAAATCTGTTCTTTTGAAAACAATATCATTGTTTTCAAAATGTTTGATTACAAAACGTTTTTTTTCAGATACGTTGAACAGATACGTTGAGCGGCAGTCGAAAGCTCCAGGGTTTGGCCCTGATGTGAGCAGTCTTATTTTACGCCATGACGGAGGTTATATAAATCGTTGATGTTTTTCCGTTTTTTTAGAAGTCCTAAAAGTTGTTCACGCTCCTAATTGAGTTTTTGCAGTTTAACTCATGATTTTTCAGTCAAATTGTTCGGCTATAATTGCAAAATATGCTCTCCAAGTACGAAAGTGGATTTGAAGTTTAAGATTGCTCAGCGGAATAAAAAAATCTTAATTTTTGATCCAGTTTTTTTTTTTTCAAATTGGGTCAGTTTTATGAAAAAAGAGTGGATCATAAATAAGAACTACAATATTTACACTTTGAAATTCGGAAAATAATTTTTGTTTAAAAAGTTTTTTCTGTATCCTTGCGTTCTTTGAATCGTTTCCAACTGTTCCAAGTTTCTAGACTATGTTCTACAACTTGTGAGATGCGAAGTAAGCCGGCTCAGAAGATGTTCCAAAATGAATTGAGACAGGCTACTTGTCCTATTTTTTACGTTATTAAAGCCGAAATCTATCACTTTGAACTTAAAACAGCCTATACTTTGTTCCTTTTTGGTTTGAATTTATCATTTTCTTCATTTGAAAACCATTCCATTGACGTTCTAAGGCACTCGGACCATTGAGGGCTTTGCCCTGATTTTCCTGATAATCTTCAATTTCTTTTGCTAAATTGACGGAAAAATACTCTCTTGAATTACAGGATTGCTAACTTTGCAAAAAATGGAGGTTGACGCTTAGTTTCAATAAAATAATGAATTCTCACATTTACCACTCACAAAAAAACGACACTAATTTGATACCTTTTTTTGTAGTTTTTCAAATAAATGAGGTTGGCAAATTCGGTGCTACCTAGCACAGCAACCGGCTGTCCTTGTTATTTTTCAATCTTTGTTTTTTCTCCTTTGAGCTGAGTTTTATGTTCTCTAGTTTTGGTTTTCTTGCACCCAATTATTGCCGCCATTCGAACAGATCAATTTCGTATAATTTGTTTCATATCTATAATTTAAACTTAAAAACATCATGGAAATCAATCGCTTCTTTTTTGTTTCGTCTTGTAAGTTTCGCGTTCTGTTGTTTTTATTGTTGTTCAATTCATCTCGATTTTTTTAGAAGTATAAGTGAAAATGATACATGCAACAATGCGAGCATGAATGAAAGTGCTTTAAACATCTGAAAAAAATCTAACTCAAACAAAAATCTGGTTTAACATTATGGTTTAATTTTTTGTATCAAAGGATCACTTAATTAAACTAAGTGTGAGTAAGCCTCATCCAGTTTTCTTTTCTCAGGTGTTCGCGTGTGATCCGTGAGATTTGCCTGCTAGCCGGCATCTCCGATCTGAGAGCCAAGATAGAGGGACCAAATAACACCCTGAAAGTAGTCATGGCAACATTCGAGATACTAGCCAACCAGAAGCCCTATCAGGAACAGGCGGATGAGAAGAAACTTAATGTTGTCAAGTTTAGAGAAGACGCGCCTTTTTATCCCATTCTTCTGGGTGAGTTAAAATTACTTGTCTTGCAACACTGAAAAATTGCAAATGATTTTGAAAATGACTTCGATCTGGTTTAAATGTTTCAAGAACCATTTTTGCAGACATTTGAAAAATGATGTCGATCTGATGACAAATTTTTTCAAGAACTTTTTTTTGTATTTACATGTAAAGTTCAAAAATTGTTCTGCTTTCAAAATTTTCATCAATAACTGCAATTTTTTCGTTAATACATGCAATATAAAGTTATATAAAGGTATCACATGCGAAGCAGGGGGGAGTGGAGATCGTTACTAGGTGCAATATTCATGTAGACGTAGCCTTTAGTTTGTCATTAATGTAAAGGTGTATTATCATCATCAGTTATCTCGGCGATTGGGAGATTATTAAAAATACCGAAACTAGCTGCTATTATTAACTGTGTTTCAGCCTCACCTCAAGACGGACAAACGAGACCAGGTAGCAACTTACCAGCAGAGGGTGAACTGACTTATGACGAATTAGATCAAACGATCTACGCATTCGAACACAGACTAGACAAAAAAGAAAAAGTGAAGAGGTTCTACGGAATCGAACCCTCTTTCTCGCCTTTCCGAAGACCAGGAAAGTTGTATGTGCCTGAGCTTAGAAAGGCAAGCAGAACTATTCTGGACAAACTGTAATGAACTTATTTGTGATTTGTGAATTCATGTCTGTTTAAAATACCTTTTTCCTCAAAAGACATACTTTTTGGAATCGAGGAGACTAATCGCCTTGCAGAAGACCCAAGTTTCCGATTTGTAGTTTGTTATTCAGTAAAAAAATATTCAGTATAGAGCTTTTTTTTTGAAATTGCTCACGCTCATGTTTTTTTTGCGGTTGATTTTAAAAATTCGTATTCATGTGCTAAATGGAAGGCAAACATCGCTCTCCTGTAACTGAAGTGCGCAATCAAAATCCTCTTAAGCGAAGAAATTTCAAATAACATTTTTTCCCACACTTATCAGGTTCCACGGCGAAAACAGTATTCTGCATAATCAGCTTCCATGAAAAAAAAATGTCATTATTTCTAAATTAGTTATCACCTTGCAGAAGATCCGAGATTTTGTTTTGTGGTCAAGATTTCAATGAAAAACTGTTGGTTGAGTTTTTTCGTTGAAAGAAAACAGTCTGAGTTATTTTTTTACATATGTTATAAGCAATGTTATTTTTTGCTTTCATATGTTTAAGCAAGGAAATGGACAATTTTTTTATTTTAAAACCAAATCAATTGATAACAGTGTCCCAAACTTGTTAAACCAAAATAAAAGCAAATTAAACACATCGAATTTTACAATAAATCGCTTAATTGAAAGTTCCTAGTTCAAAAACGAAACACAGTCAGTCAATTAGATCTAGGAAATGAAAACGACCCTATACAGAGAAAGAATTTCATGTTTACAAAATTACTGAAATCCCTTTCAGCATTCATAAATAATTTATCAATTGTGTTGAAAATAATAAGATTAAAACATGGAGACAAAAACTCGAAAGTTTGTCTATGTTTGCATTCAAAATTTTATTTTTAGCTGAGGATCTTTCAGAGAATTTAACAAAATTTTCAAGTAGAGCCTATGTAAGCCTCTATTTTTTGTTTGAAAGTAATCTGTTAAATTTTCTCAATGCAATTCAAATGTTTTTCCTTCTCAATGCAATTTAAATGATCTGGTGCACTTTTTAGGCAGCTTTTTTCCAAATTTTGGGTTTTTAACATTTGATTGAAAAATGTTCTGTAGTTTGAAACACTTTTAAGACTAGCTAATTTTTATCATTTTTGGTTAAATGGGTTGGGATGATTTTTGTCAGGTTCTTTTGACTGTTTTAGGAGTATTTTTGCCAGTTTCAGGAAACTTTTATAGCTTAAGTATTACGAGGCCAAACTGTGCACTGGATAGGCGCCCAATTTGCTGTGTGTAATTTTGAGGAATCCAGAGAAAAGTCCTTAAGCATGGTAAAATTTGTCGGAACAATCAAAGAAAACGAAAAAACATAAGAAGAGCAAAAAGAGCGTCCTTGTTGCGGAATCCGCTAACAGTTAGCAGAATACACAATTTGACCACGTAGGGAAATCTTTTTCTGTTTAGTTTTGTTTTCCGCTTAAAAAGGTTCGACTCAAGTTTTTTCACTTTGTCGCCACTTGGTTATTGGTTCTTAATGCTTGCTAACTCTGTTTCTGAACCTTATCCAAGGCAAACGTATGAGAGTTTTACAGATAGTTTTTTGAATTTTTCAATTATATTTTTCAGCCTAAAGTTTCAAAAAAAAGACCTACTTTTCATTTTTTATCAAATCCTGCAATGCAAGGTTTTAACTGTATTGCAAATTTTGCACGCTCCGCTTTGTCTCATTGGGTCGTTCATAGAGAATCACTTGCGAAGTTGGCGCAGCTAGTTTGAATCTTCCAAAAAAGATATGGGACATCTTAATAATCGTCATCAATACTTTTCGCATAAGCAGTCTCCTTTGTTGATATGACGGTTAGCATTGACACAAGTTTGATTTTTTGTTTCTTGATAGCTCAATTGGACAATTCTGTCTTTTTTTCACTAAATTGCCAAGTTTGAATTATTGCTCTGATGCGTGTATGTGAAAAAATTTTCTGGGGTGGCAATGGTTAGTATGAGCAAGGTTTTTTTTCCATTTCATGATTGGTTAATTGCTCATATAATTTAAAACAAGCTTACTATTATTGTGACAGCACTTGGATTTTTTCATAAGACTTTAAACGCGTTTACTCGAATGACATTTTTTTTACCGTATATGACTGGATTTTGTTACCGATTTCGTTCAGAATTTGTTTGGGACTATAGTCGGATTTATTTTGGACTTTGACCCTTGTTCAGACTACAAGTTTTGAGCGCAAGCTGAATTGATTGGGACACCATTGATGTACCTCGACTCGGGCAAGTGTGTTTTTGATAAATAATATCTCGTTTCACAAGCATTTGTTTTTGCAGGGACGTTTTTTGCAGTAGAAAACAAAATTTCGCCAAATTCTGATGATATAATTGATTGAAATGAATGTTTTTTTTTGTTCAGCCATTTTTCAGCGATTAAATGAATTTTACTGCTTTTTGTGCTGATAAAGCTACTATAGTTCTGCTGGACGCCCTCTCCTCAGAGATTCGACCCCCTACCGACCCAAAGGGTCCCCCTTTTGTACTTTTTTGAGATATCCATATCTAGCGACGGACCACAAAAATTTTCTAAAGGCGCCAAAAAATACTAGTTTTGAGGGATGAGCGCGCGCCAAAAAAACGCAATATTTTGGTCAAAATTTTCCAAAAAGTGCCTAAAAACGCGTTTTTCAGCCTGTTTTTCAAATTTTTTACTGCGGTAAAGAAAGTTTGGCCAAAACAGGAAGAAAACAATGCGTTGGGAGAGCTCGAAAAATCAATTTGGTCGACCAGAAATTTTTTTTTTGAAAATCCCCCCCCCCCCCCCCCCCCCTCGAGAAAATCCTAGATCCGCCCCTGCATGAATTGACACTGTTTATCTCCTTAAATTTGAACAAAATGAGTTTAATTGTTCGATTGTAGGGTATAATGTTGGTTCGAAATTTTGCAAAAAATTTGTATCATAAAAAACTTAGTATCATTAGTCAATTTTTTCCTCATTATTTTTCGGCCAAAATTATCGAATTTCAGAAAAACGATGAAAAATTTTTTTTGTTCATTTTATCCGGCTGTTTCAGTTCAGCACTATAGTAGATAGCTGGTAAGATAGAGGGTTCATATGATTCATATTTTTTTAGCTCACTGAGAAGATTAAAACTGTAGCTGATTCAGAGATAATCAGCTCGGAGTTCGAAGGTTCAACCCTGTTTCTTCAAAGTACTACCTTAGGAGTGAGGTTTTCACCGCTTTCATGTTTCAGTCCTGTTCATGGATATTGTAATGCTCATCAGAGCCTAAATCAGTGGTGGGAAACTGATTTTTCTCTGAAACAACGATTACTACAAACAGCCTAAATATAATCGCGTGCAATTTTTTAAAATCTTAGTTGAATTAATTCGATTATTGTGGCAGACGCAAAGAACTTAAAATTTGATGTCGAAACCGAATCTTTTAAATTTAAGAAAAGTTTTCATTTTTCTATGTAATAAATTACAAACAATGCGTTGCATATGAAACAATACTAAACTGAATATCCACTCCAGAAGCAAAAAAAAACTGTTTTTCAGAAAAAAAGAATGCGATGACTTCTAGGAATAGAGGCAAAAATAGTCGAAGATTCAGAATTATATATATTTTTATGTACATTTTGATAATTATTTACAATTGGTGTTCCATAATTTATCATAACTAGGAATATTTTGGCGTTTTAAAATTTATGGTAATTTTGTACACTTTGGCGTTCCAGAAATCATCAAAATTAGGAACATTTTGGCGTTTTTGGATTTATGATAATTGTGTAGATTTTGGCGTTCAAATCATTCAGAAAATCTGATTAGCAACTCCCGTCGCTTATCTGTTTGATCTGAGATCCACAGCATTGATAGAGGCCGTTCCTATCTTCCATCACATTTCCGTCACAGCATATGTCATCGATTTGACTGTACACATTTGGACCACAGCAATTAGGGTTCGCTTTGGCGTCGGCATTAACCCAGGTACCCTCGCAGCAAATTTTCTGGCCTTGTATGGTCCCCTCGGTCGGGCAGCTTCGTCTGACCAGGCTCTGAGGCCAGTTGCGTCTGTGTTCGTGATGGATTTTGCTCTGGCAAACTAAAAATAGCTAAAACTATGAGAGCTTATGGTCATAAGACTGAAATGAAAATGGATCCTCCTTTTGTTTGATGTAAGCTTGTTCTGGTCAAGTGGCACAGAATTTTTCAAATATTTGCAATGAATAAAAAGCTCACAACTTTGGCAAGTTTTGTTGAATTTTTGCAAAGGTTTTTTTTGACGGAGAAAAAGAACGTTCTAAAGTAGTTACCAAGTACCAAAATATCTGATTGAGTTTTTAGGTATAGCCTTTGCCTTCTTTCAATTTCAGTCCCATTTTTTGTTAGATTCACTGCAAACAATTTTCCAGTCAGAATGCAATTTGCAATGAAACATTGGTCTCCTGTTTTGAATTTTAGATTCTTGTATGCAGCGAGTTTTTCTTCAATTTTCTTTTTCTTTTTTTCTGGAGGCCGGCGATGAAAACTTTTATGATCAAAATTATTCTCGAGAATTGACTTTGTCCAGACTAAATTAGATTAAGTGATTCATTCTTTTCGATGGAACTTAGTTAATCTTCACAATTTTTTTGAAAAAAATGACGAACGTTTTTCAATCAGGTTTTCTTCAGGAAAAGAGTGAACTCAGTTTGCCATATTGCCTTTTTCAATGTCGCCGAGTATACAAAGTCAACCTTCAGACTTTCTACAATTTTTTTAATGATTAAAACCAACAAATTACGAGGTGAGAAAATCCAAATCAATTTCAAATTTATTTAATTATTCCTAGTTATGATAAATTCTGGAGCGTCATATTGTAAATAATTATCAAAACGTTACATATATATGCAAATAATTCTGCAGCTCTTTGACTATTTTTTTTCTATCCCTAGAAGTCATCGCTTTACTAAGCGATCATTGCTGGTTGATTGCTTAGTAATTTATCCTAAGTTATACGTCTCACCTTAGATCGTCAGGTTTTCTTGACAAACGTTATAGTAGAAACAATAGTTAGAAGAGGTATGAATTAATTAG